GTTAAATTCCTACTAACATTGACTACAAACTACATTATATATATGTTCAAAAACTGGTTAAATAATAAATAATAATATATTCTAACAGACTTGCATGCAAGTTGCGTTTTAAATACCTTCTAGTAAGAGCAAATTGGCAGTCTTCCACATTGAACTTACCTGAAAAAAGTAAAAATTAGTTCAACTATGATACACAAATACATTTGTAGAACGACATTCTCTAAACAAAACACATTGATAAAGTACATATTACACAGGCTGGATGTATGCCGAATTTATCAACTCTTGAGAAAGTGCTTGGTATAAAATTTCCAGTCAATAACGCTGTAATAGTTGGAAAAACAAAAATAACAGTTTGATTCAATTAGAAATGAGGAACTGATTCAGATATGTTTCACTCTCTGATGGTTCTCGTTCTATTGAGTCAGACTAACAATTTCAGTTAAGACTATGCAGAATCAGCGATAGCGTAGGTATTGTGATGTTTTCAACAATGGATGACATCGATACAGATGTATCACACGAACGAGCAAATGCAATTAACCAAGTGTAACAACATGATAAGGTAACTTTACACTCGAAATCATGCTTGATCAAAGCACTAACAAGCTGAAGGTTGGTAAACTTTTATTTCTTTAGTAGGTTTTAAGAACCATTTTCCAGTTTGCTATTTACACGTACTTACACAGTTAGTGCAGTAAATAGAGTAAATAGTAGTTTGAACTGGAAGTGCATTGAAGGAAACTAACCAAATGACAACTAACCTACTTTCATCCTTTTGTCGTAAAAAATACAACTCTTAGTTTTATTAGTCAAAACAGAAATACTACGAAGCGTCGTTTGGCATGTATAACAAATGGTTAATCGACAAGGTGTATTTTAAATTATTTCCTTATTGTTATCCTCTGTTTGTTCATTCCTTTAATGTCAAACTGTACAGCTTTCAAACGAGATTTATTATTGGCTCCTTTATTTTTGGGGAATAGGAGGCTTGATATCCATGGAAAACAAGAACGTTAATAAAAATAAATAGAGAATTTTTTTCTGAGTTAACTTTTTTTTTTTTTTTGTGATACCTTTAAAAGATATTAACTAGCCTGTAAAATAATTCAATAACGTATTAGGATAGTACTTTTATTAACTTATTCAATGCACACATAGAACAGTATTCAATTACATACAAACGTTGACACCGAAGTCCATTCATTCAAGCTAACGGTTACTACAAAAACAAATCACACTTCCTATTACACTAAATGTGGCGAAACAAGTAATAAACTACAGCAAAATTAGTGTACTCTGGTTTGAGGTGAGTCGTAAGTTGATAAACCAATTAGGAGAATTGCTTGGGTTGATCAACCAAGCTGCCATTAAAACCTACTCCAGGATTTCCCCCGGCTCCCATGTAGAGCTTATGTCATGATGGCAACTTGATGTGATCACAGAGTGCTGTTGAGGCAATCGTTAACCAATATTACTTGCATTAGTTAGATTTTGTATTATTTATTGCGTTCTTTCTAATCATTAAATGTGTACACTAGTGAAATTTCTCGACTGCTAAAACACATTGTTGAACAGCAATATATGAATAATTTCTATACTCAAATATGCTCTGCTTGATTTTTTTCTTTTTGAGAAATATTTATTTGGGTTAATCAAATTCATACGAAATCTGTTTATTAAACACCTTCCAAATATACCGAAAATTTGTGCATCAAAAGTTTCAGTGCATTATATATTTTTATTTTAATATTGATGGATGATACAGTATAGATATTTAACGTAAAAAGTTTGAGACTCCTCAATCATCACTTATAATATTGAGAGCTCCTAAGTTACAATAAATTAACTCTATTTTAGTAGTACGTCCCAAAAATAAACAATCCATCACCTACAGATCATAGTGCCAAGACGTACAGACCATCTCATTTGTAAAAAGTCACACTGTCCTGGTATAACCTTCCCTACATTACGAAAATTAAAGTTTATCAAAATTCTAAGAAAATAAATCCAGTTAAAAGGGTTTTCTGAACAAACTCTTTCAAGCATTATGCAAAAATGTTAAGAAAATATTTACTTTCTGACAGCTTACAATTTATTTTTTCTTTTGTACGATTAGACCTCAAATTTGACGTAGACCTTGCACGAGTTTTATTTTATTTTGTTTACAATATATTAGAATTTTACTACAGTATGTTGCAATACTTTTTTGTTGCATTACAAATACTACACCGAACGGTATGGTTTTTTCAACGCACCCTATACCAGGGATGTGATAGCGTTTTATTTCGGCGGCTCTCTATTGAAGTGTAGAATATAACGGCCAATATTGGCAATATCGACGGCTTTGTCGCTCATTATTGGCCCTGTATGCTTGTCACTTGAGCTCTATATGGGACAACTTGTATATCACGTATAAAATAAATTACAAAACAAACATTTATAAACCAAAACCGTTAGAGTGAAGTTTGCATGACGTCCAATTTCTTGTATTTCGTCTATGTTGCGAAAGTTGGTGTGTTCGGTTAGATCAATGCAATGCCATAGGAAAAGTAGTTATAAAGTAAAAAAAAACTTCAATAGAACGTAAAAGAATACTTTTTTAGCTTCTTAATTTAATTTCAAACAAAATTTATAGTTTTGCAATAAATAATTAGTTAATGTAAAGATTGAAAGTGGTTATTAATTTTATGTATATACTTTATCTCACTTTTATCACCCTAACTCTAGCAATAAACCTTCAACCACCTTCAAAAAGGTCGATTAATTCAGAATTTCTGTCAAGAAAATGTTCATTACGTACTAATTCATATTTTATTCAAACAGCCAATAGATATATTGTCTAAATGCATTCTACAGTTGTGCTATTTGTAGGATATGTTATAATGTATATTATACTAGTGGTGACATTGGAATGGTTAATGAATCGTAACGTTTAGACAACAAATAGACAAATCGATTAAACATTAGATGGGATCCGTTTATAGTGAATAAGCAAATGTTTATCGGTGAAGGTCTGTTTACAAACTTTCTGAAGAGTTTGTAAACATATAAAGGGGCTAAACAAGCAGTATCGAAGGAGTAAGTGAGGTTTAAGTCATAAATACTTCATCCTTAGAGGTGTAGGGAGATGGGCTGGTCACATACGTAGTGTACCTACTATGATGTACTTTATTTATATTATATTTTTTTGTTTTATTGGGGTTCACATAATTCTACTTGGACACTTTGGACACAGTTTTTCATTGCCTAGTAGAATATTTTCTTACAAACTCATTTTTTTTTCTACACCAGTTGCATTTTTTATTTAAGTCAAAATTTGCCTAAACTCTTTTAAGGGCTCTTAAGTGCCTTTAAACCCATTAAAGTTTTGAAGATGTGCAGGAATTGAACCCGTCCATCCCGCACTGAAGTCCAAGAAGCAAACCCAATTCTAGCAGCATACCCAAACGAAACTAACACTTAAATGTGTCAATTTTAAATTATAATTTGTCATCAGTTAGATATTGAGTTTTACAAGCTAACTCTTTGTCAATACAGGATTTGAAGCTATGAATAATACGATTGATCGTACGAATATTGCTAATGGTGGAAGAGGTTTTCACCAGGTGATAAAGATCCAACGTTATCAATAAACTTCACAAAATCCTCTTTGGCGAAGCGGAATCAATGTTCAATGGAAGATAAATCGAGCCACGCCGCCGCTTGACAAATTGCACTTTTTTGGCAACGCTTTTCGCCACTTGACAGGTTTTATCAACATTTCAATATCTCTTGGAATATTCCATGCCAAATGTTATGCTTATGAAAATAGTATAACATTGTACATTTATAAATATAATATATAAAAATATTGTATTCTTTTCATTGTTATACATGTGCTTACAATACAAAAATCTTGTTACGTTTTCGTTTACCTAACATTTTCCATCTCAAGAATAACGAAGAAAATCGTTGTCTAGCCAAAGGTACAAGAGTATGTAAGCCGAATCCTACTGCAGTTGTAAATTTGTGAGTATGTTTTGCTATTTTCATAGGACGAGATGTTTTGATACCCGAGAACTGAGTTCAAATCCAACCAATCAAGAAGTAATTTTACCATGTCAACGTCTGCGTCACTCTAAGCCTGATGAAAAGCATGAAACAGTTCAGGAATATAGCCTAGGGTTCTATTATGTAAAGAAAGTAAATTAAAATGGTAGTAGAATTTGTCTCTACAAAAAAGGTCTCTTTGACGAAAATATCTTTATCTTTTCTGCAAAAACAGTCCTACATAGAAGAATAATTGATTTGTTAAATTAGGTGTAGTTGTTATGTACACAAAGATGATGTTAGGCTCACGTTCACTTCGCTGTGATTGTATGCGGCCAATCCCGTGAATGTTTGCCGATCACTCTCATCAACCGGACAGCTAATGTAAATCCATTAGCGATCTAGAGCCTGCATAAACCTGCGGTATGTCCAGATAAATATATGTCTGTCAAAATATTGCATAATTTTTGTTTTTGGAGGTTTTCAGGTTTAGTTATAATTTTAAAAATAAAACTTTAAAAATACAACCGATAATTTAGAAGTAATTAAAAATCTTGAAATGGTAAATAAATCAAAAATTAAAGCGTTTTTAAATATGGGTTTCTCAATATGTTAAATGATTAATATGATGTAAACGATTTTTTGCTACGATAGGAATATCGGTTTTGTAAAACTACATTTTATAGTGCCTTGAAATACTTGTATTTTTTTAAATCATAAATTGAATAAATGGTTCCCTTTTCTCATCTTAACTAGTTTAGTTATTTCGAAAAGTTGCCAACTATTGACAACAAACAATTTGAGATAGTGTTTTCGGAAAAAAGGATAAACAGTAAATTTACTCATTTGTGGTGTGCTTTTTATTTCCAACCCAACTAAAACCACTTACTTGATTTTAACGTTGGCCTACTTCTTTAGACAATTTGTTACTCACCACTGTAGTAACCTGTAGGGATTTGTCTTTATTTTGAATGCCCAATAAACGTATTTATCACAACAATCTAGTTAATTCTGAAACTATTTTAGGTCAAAGAAGTGCATGATAGTATTGAAGTTATCTATTACACAAATTTAAATAAATTAAACATGAACAAAACGGTCACAACACAAGGGACATAGACAATTCACTAACCCTCTTTGTCGATATCTTTCTGCGGCATCAAGACAGTGACTGTATCACTATCATCAATCCCTGTTTTGTTTAGAGCAGACAGATCAAGCGTGGGTGAAGTTCTAGATTCTCCTTGCCTCAAGAAGTCCAGGTAGGCGGATATTTTGAACGTTTGGTCTCTAATATCTTCCAGCCCTTGGGTTATGTTGTCCTGTAGCTTTAGCCAGCCGGGTATGTTCATCTCTACTCTATACACCATCTCCTTCCTCTCGAACATTTGGCTGTGGACGTCCTTGTAGTTTCCTCTGGCGGTCTTCACGAACAACGCGAGTGACATGTAGTTGTCGGCGACGTCTTGAACCAAATCAATCAACTCCTTTTTGTTGACTGGATGGGAGAACCCCACTTCTATAGTATCGCCCTGAACTGCCTCAATGGCCTTCACGTAGTCCCCGTACTTCGGAAGATTACAGCACATTTCCGCGTAATAGTCCGCCGTGATTTTATCAGCGTGATGTATAAAAGTGTTGAGCTTGGGAACGTAATCGTCGAAATAGGCGTTCAGACTTTCTTTGATTCTTAGAAGCATGTATGACAGACTGTGGCTACTGATTTTCTGGTCGTCGACCTTCTTCTGGCAGCGTTGTAAAATGTCGTTTGTCAACGTTATGATCTTCTTGGTCTCGTCCGGAGGAAGGTCTTCACCGGAAGGTGTAGGGGAGACACAAACCTCGAAGGAATCACGCTTGGTTTGTTCTTTGGGCTTGGTTTGTTCTTTGGGCTTGGTTTGTTCTTTAGGCTTGGTTTGTTCTTGGGGCTTTGAAGGTTCTTCGGGAGCAGGTTCCTTGGGCTTGGTCGGTTCATCGGGCTTTGTCGGTTCTGGGTTTACTGGCCCAGGAGCTTCCTCATTGTTTGCAGGATTTTTCTCCGCATCCTCAGAACTCGGCTCTATTGGGTTTAATGGTACATCAAGAGTTTCATTTTCCATTGTATTACTTCGGTTAGTAGGTACGCTCAACAAAAATTTAATAATAACTTAGAATTTATAGATGACTCGACTTCGTTTCTAAGGTTACTAATTATCTTTGTGTATTAAAAATAAAAGGTTTCTCGTCATGACGAACATTTTAAGTATATGATTTATGGGGATGTGACTTGTAGTTTTCTCAAAAGTTCATTGGTACTTTTGGCTTTATATATAGATACCAGATATTATGGTAAGACCATCGATCACTATCGATGGGTAAGACATATTGACCGGGGGTTTTTCGAGCAGTATAGTAAATCAAGTAAACAACGGTAGGAGTTTAATGTATAACATTTTGTTATGAACAAGTTTATGATGTTTAACAAATGTCTGAATATAGTGCTGAAGGATTTAGAGTAAAAGAAACTAAAATAAGATTAGTAAATTGTTATCCGTATGAATCATTGTGATTATTTTTCACATAAATTGACACAGCTAAAGCCATTATGACAGGACTATATATCATTTGTTGATTTGGTCCAAATAAATATTTTATTGAATTACTAGCTGACCCGGCGCACTTCGTATCGCCTAAGTTATAGGTTTCCCCTAAGACAGACCGATGGAAAGAAAGTACCGTTACGTTTAATTTTCAAGATGATCTCGTTCGCATCGCTCAATCACGTCCTGGTTGAAGTTCGTTCGCTACGCTCACTCACCTTTGGGTTGGAGCTCGTTCGCTACGCTCACTCACCTTTGGGTTGGAGCTCGTTCGCTACGCTCACTCACCTTTAGGTTGGAGCTCGTTCGCTGCGCTCACTTGCCTTCAGGTTAGCTCGTTCGCTACGCTAACTCGCCTCCAGGTTGAAGTTCGTTCGCTACGCTCACTCACCTTTTGGTTGCAAATTAGCTGTTGTCATAAATGTAAAAGAAATAATAGTGCTGCACCCTGTACGTTTAATTTTCAAGATGATCTCGTTCGCATCGCTCAATCACGTCCTGGTTGAAGTTCGTTCGCTACGCTCACTCACCTTTGGGTTGGAGCTCGTTCGCTACGCTCACTCACCTTTAGGTTGGAGCTCGTTCGCTGCGCTCACTTGCCTTCAGGTTAGCTCGTTCGCTACGCTCACTCGCCTCCACGTTGAAGTTCGTTCGCTACGCTCACTCACCTTTTGGTTGCAAATTAGCTGTTGTCATAAATGTAAAAGAAATAATAGTGCTGCACCCTGTTGGTAATCCTTGTAACTTTAATGCTATTGAACATCATAGAACAGAACCAACTTGTTTAATTGAAACAGCTGTTAAGATTCATTAATTCCATTTCTCATAAGATTAACATGGGAAACTCCAGAGCCACTGGGGCGGAGCCCTTTTAAGAATTTCGAAACGGGAAATAGTTTACTTCCTATTCGCATACCTACAGAATTTACACACCAAATTTCATAACGATCGGTGAAGTCGTTCCGGAGGAGTTTGCAGACAAACACTGTGACACGAGAATTTTATATATTAGATCTCTTGGTCAGTTAAACGTCCCTTGTGCAGTACAAAATTATATACAGGGTGATCAACTCAAGGAGGCCACCATTGGGATATCGCAGACGGTAAGAGTTAGAAAAATCTTTAAATGGGGAACATTCCTTTATTTTTGGTGGCAGTTAAAAATATAATATTCTATTTTTCCGAAATTCAGCCGCCATTTTCCAAAATGGCGGCCAACTTAGAAATTTATTACGGAACACCCTAAATTTTATGATGTTTACGGCTAGAACATGCGATTTAAAAATCTTTTGTTACTTGAATTTTTTTCGATAAACCAACTCGTTTAGGAGTTACAGTCTAGGGAAAAATGACTACCGGTGTACATTTTACATCATGTATAAACAAGTAGGTTTATAGCGAAAATGCGAAGAGTAAATAAGTCAAACAAGTCTTAAAATTACAACCACATTCCATAAAGACACTAAAATAAACAGTTTCCACTTTTCAAGTTTGCCACCATTTTGGAAATTGGCCGCCATTTTTAAATAATAAAATTTATATTTTTAACCAATTGCATGTTCTTTTTGGAATGTGGATGCAATTTAAAGACTTATTTGACTTATTTACTCTTCGCATTTTAGCTATAAACCTACTTGTTAGGAGCTACATGATGTAAAATGTACACCGGAAGTAATTTTTCCATAGGCTGTAACTCCTAAACGAGTTGGTTTATCGAAAAAATGTCAAGAAAAAAAGTTTTTATATTGCATGTTCTATCCGAAAACATCATAAAATATAGGGTGTTCCGTAAGAAATTTCCAAGTTGGCCGCCATTTTGGAAAATGACGGCTGAATTTCGGAAAAATAGAACTATATTTGTAACTGAAAACCAAAAATAAAGGAATGTTCCCCATTTAAAGTTTTCTCTAATTCTCACCATTTCCGATTTCCCAATGGTGGCCTCCTTGAGTTGATCACCCTGTATATAATATATAAACTAAAAATAGTTTTGATTTCTACTCCAGTTTAAGCCCGTATATTGTGGATGCGGATGCACACATTGAAATACACATGCATATGTCTTCCCAGGTAGACATTAATAGCTATTTCCCATAAGCTTTCCTCTATAGGGAAATTCACTAAAACCTCAATCAGTCAATAACATAAACTGGCCTAAGTCAATGTTCGTAACCAAGGAGACATTATCAGTATTTGCTCAAACTTAATAACGACATGAATAGTGATACTTTTTTAATACATTAACAATTATTAAACATTATCACCTAGAATTATTTCAATTTATCTTCAACACAACACTTACCAACAACATAACATTTTATCCATTTTTCTTTTTTACTGTTTAAGAATTTAAAACGAATTTTGTAAAAATATAGTTTCTCATAATAACATAATTAATTGGGTTGAACTACAAGGGGTCGAAAAACATCGTATATTTTTGCAGATATCCTAATCATTAGACGTATTGCTTGAATTTCAAGTTTAAGAAGTGATTTTATATTAGATCAAGGAATGCAAAATATAAAAAAATGACGGTAAACAATTTAGTTAGTTATTTCTTTATCGCGTTTAAATAATCCAGCTGTTATTTATTGATAAAATAAAGTTAGATTTGTGGAAACTGAGTCAGTCGTGGTCGGAGGAAAACTAATTTGCTAAAAGCCTTCCACTGATAATGTCTTCAGTTCTTTTCAACTCATTTATTTAACGGCTTATTAATTACCTTTCTTTGAGCGTGTTAGCGTGGTCGCTCTCGATAATGGTTTATTGGGCTTTATTCATCGAGCAAATAATATAGAACGATTATAGACTCAATAATCTGTATACTATTGTGATTACTTTTATATGGATAGCAAATATATGAAAAACCATAATAAAACAACGATGATGATTAAAATCACAACACACGTACAGTACAGCCAATACATGGCTATCGATTTATACACTAATGATTCATATTATGTTTAAGTAATTTGGAAATAACCTAAAATATATTCCATCTGTACTTACATACTTTTACAAATATTTGAAAATAGTTTATGATTATTTAATTCAACCAATATTCTATTGTTTGGCTGATCGATTATTAGTTATTACTATTGCCTTTTAATATCTAAATTACATTGATTCACAATACTTTTGGTAATAGACATTCCTAACGGATAAAAGAGTCTAAGAAGCAATGAAAAATGTAATCTTACATTTTAAAACACACAAGTTTCACAATCCCAATCGTGAAATACTTCTATGAATCAATATATCTTTCCATAGGCCCACAAAAATATTTCCTTTTTACAATCCAGATATTTTGAAGAGAGTTCTCCTCGTCCTTTTTTGAGTGGTGAACTAAAAGGAACCACGTCACATATTGTTAACTTTTACTCATGCACGGTAGTTCACGTGTGTTTTCGACGATTAATTTACAATACTATTCACGGCTATTAGTAGCTAATTATCACATCTGTGACGTATCTATATCGATTTTCCCCATGAAATTTACCAATGAACGTTAGTTCATTTCTTTTTATTACAAAATTAACTAATATGCAAATTTTATGAGTATTGACAACTCATTACTATCGGTAATCGATTATTTCGATAATATTCGCCAAATAATGGTAGTTTCACGTCTGTATTTAACGACTAATACAGTTCATGACTATTGACCTAAAAATAATTCATCATCATACAAATAATGGCATCGGTATTGATTGTTTTGATGACATTCACCGACAAATGTTAGTTCATTTCTACATTTTACAGCTAATATGCAAATGTCTATGACTATTGCCAGCTCATTATTATCGATAATCATAACGGTAACGATTGTTTCAATGACATTCATTGACTGGTAGTACACGTCTGTATTTAACAACTAATATGCGAAATTTCATGACTATTGACAAGTCATTACCTTCGGTAATCATATCTATATCGATTGTTTCGACTACATTTTTTGACTAATGTTAATTCACGTCTGCATAAAACAACTAATATAGTACTGTTCATGAGTGTATTTGACGAGTAATTTACAATGCTATTCATGGCTATAGATAGCTAATTATCACAACGTTATCGTATCTATATCGATTTTCCCGATGAAATCCACCAAAGAACGGTAGTTCATTTATTTATATTATGAATAATACGAAATGATAATCATATCAGCAATTTGTTCGGTATCGATTGTTTCGATGAAGTTCACCAGTTTTGATGTAATTCACGTCCGTATTTAACAACAAATAGTACTGTTCATGACTATTGACAAATCGTTACCGTAATCGTAGGTAATCGTATCGATATCGATTGTAATGACGATATACACCGACTAATGTTATTTTAAGCCTGTATTTAACACTAATATAGTACTAGTCATGACTATTGATAACTCATCATCATATCGACAATCGTATCAATATTGATTGTCCCGATGACATTCACCGACTAATGTTATTTTAAGCCTGTATTTAACAACTAATATAGTACTGTTCATGACTATTGATAACTCATCATCATACCGTCAATCGTATCGATATCGATTGTCCCGATGACATTCACCGACT